TGCGACCTTCTCTGCATGCCAAGTAGATGCTCTAACACTGAGGCACAGCCCCACCACACTTTGAGGACTTTGTGATATGTGACTCTGCCCCCAATACCCAGGTAGAGAGAGGCAAGGGTGAGTGTAGGGTTGTGAAGTCCAAGTTGGGGAATACCTAGAGATTCGGGGGTGCAGCCTGGGGACGGTGGAATTTGGGGAGGGTATAATGCCATATAGTCCACCTTCAAAAGTAGCCATTTTCTCCAGGGCAACACATCTCTGTCACCTGGAGACCAGCTGTAATTCTGAGAGATCTCCTGGCCCCACCTGGAGGTTAGCAACAGTATTTAGAGATGAGGATTATTCTGAGAGATCCCCAGACCCACCTGGAGGATCGCAACCTGTTGTGTCCACTGACCACCACTGGAGGTCAGCACACATGCCTGCGCTCAGTCCAGGACTGCGACGGGACTAGGTCACTAGTCTCGCCACTGGGGGAAACCAAGGGGACCAAGGCGGGATAGCGTAACCCGCCAATGGGACCCAGGGGTGGTCCCTGGTATTGTATATAGTTGGCCGGCCGGCCATTTTCTCTCTCTCTTATGTTGTGTACTCAATAAAGCGTGCCATGCACCACAGGGTCTTATGTCGTTGGTTCATGTGCCTACCCGCTACACAATACAACCACAGGTGTGTCTGTGTGAATAAGGTACAATGTTCAGTTTGGGACAGGAGGGAGAAGGAGAATCCGGAGCCATGGCTGGGAGAGGTTTTGGCTGAAGCACATTGAATGTACAGGATCTCTCTCTCTCTCTCTCGGGACATCTGATATGGGGTAGAGGATCTCTTGTGCTGTAGTGATGCTTCCATATTTGTAAATAATGAAAAATACTGTAGAGACACCCAGAGGTCTCCAGGAGGACCCACTCCTTCCAATGGAAGCAGCCTGGGCAACCATTAGCCCCTGGAACATCTCCCTCCTTGGAGAACGGGTAGGTAGATTAACTCTGCTTTCGTCCTAGTTTGCATTTAAGGGTAATGATAGCATAAATCCCATACTTGGACAGTGTTTCAAAAAAGATTGAAACTTACCACTGATAGCTTTATTGCACAATACTTTGTTGCAGCACTTGACTTCCATGTAGATGTATCCGCCATCTGGTAAGGTGGCAGTGTTTTTGAATGGGCGACAATACTCAGCGGACATGCATCCCAGTTGGTTAAATATTTTCTGAACTTTATTTCCACTCTCTGGAAGAAGACAGGTGAAAAGACAGGTCTAGATTTGCACACGCACACAAAGACACAAAATACCCTTCTCACTCATCTTGTAACGTAAATGCTTTTTCTATAGTTTTCGTCATCTGTATTAACCAAATGAAGGTGTCATTTAAATAAAACATGTGGGTATTGTTCAATTTTGCAAGTTATTGTTTAAGAAATATTTTAAAAAATAATCTGTACTTCAGGTGCAGTTTTGTTGGGGTGTCTTTTGAAATTTAAATTTATAGTTGAAGTTTTAAAAATGGATCACATTATGAACATATAGAATTATCAGTTCATTATTAGGGGTAACAGTATATGCAGGTCTTGACGGGACTGTTCTCTAGAAGCTAATCCGGACTGGAGATTCCCAAGTACCATCAAAGAAGATCCTGTTGGAGAGCAGCCTTTCCATCATCTGTATTCTTCTGGCACCATGTGCATCCAGAAGAGCCTGTGGTCTCTATCCAGGGGTGTGTTCTGGGGCACACACTCAATTCCTGTAGGAACCATGTGAACTAAGCATTCATCCTCGCTCATGGCCCAACATCTGAACTTGTTGCCATGAGTGGTGAGGCAAACTCCCTTGGATTAGGGTCTCAAGACTGTGAAAGGACTGTCTCCCCAACAGCAGTGTCATTCCCAATTCCCAGAAGCACTGAAGATGTAAAGAGAGAGTTCTCCCTTTGTATCTTGGCTTGGGCTGCCGTAGCCTTGGACTGAAAAATTCGGGTGCCAAAAATTTCTGGGGGTAACGGACAATGGCAAGTTTGACTATGATCTGGAAACATTTCATTGATCTTCCACATTACATCACTTTTCGTTTTCAATCTGCAAATTACACATCCCCCCCCCATGATCTGGGCTGTGCCACCAGAGGCCTACTAGGCCCAGGGAGTCTGTCTAGCAGTAGGTGAGGCTGGGGCTACAGCTCCCAGAAGCCCCTGAGAGGTTTTGGAACCAAACTTGACAAATAAGGAAGAAGAGG